TAGCACCGCCCACTTGTGATCACATATATGTATCTCGCTAACCGTTCTAGCAATTTGTACCAAGCTCGGTATGGTTATTGTGCTTGCCACATAAAAGCAAACCGTTGAAAATTGTTGAAATCGGACTAAAATTGAGGCGGCTTTTCATATATCGGTAAATTTCAGATATGCTTGAAACTGCATAATTTCGAAATTTAAGGACGCTAATTTACTTAAAATGTATACACCCCGCTCAAGTAGCACACTGGTGTATAACTTGGTGTAAATTTGTGAATTTTGGTGCAATTAATCAGATTTATACCGAAATTCGTAAATCTACACCAATTTATGCACCAGTGTGCTACTTGAGCGGCTTATCATGTAGCGGTAGCTTTCGGAAAGGTGGAAAACATATATTTAATACTTGCGCCGGGTATTTAATGTTCGGCTCCGCCCGAACTTAGACTTTCTTACTTGTTTTTATTCCAAAAATAGATACTTTCCAAAATATTGTATTTATCCGTTTTTGCGGTCTAAATTTTTTAATACACAGTGTTCGCGGAAACACGTTTTAAAAATGCATATGTATATATCGATACTTGAGCGGAAGATCGACCTACCTAGGCAGCCAGTTCGAAAACGCCCTATCTCAGAATTCGGTTCAAAAACGCCATATCTAAGCAGCAAATACATTGAAAATATGCTGAGATAGGGCTTTTTGGAATCGGTAGCTAAGATATGGCGTTTTTGAACCGAATTCTGTGATAGGACATTCTGGCTGCCGAGATAGGTGGAAGATCGACTCTATACTACACTACACTACATCTTGAAGAGTTTTGAATATTTTCCTTCCGGTTTTTAATGTTTAATACTTTTTTATTTAAGTCTAGTTAAATATATAATACTTAACACGATATGAATCCACATTACAAACTTTGTAGGGAAATTAAAAAAATGCCACAATAAAAAAAAATTTGTATTCATAATTATAAAAAAATGTATATAAAGCCAAGAACAGTAGCTTATGTCGAAAGGCTAGCATTAGTATAAATCGGCATTCGCAGCATACGATTGCGAATAACTCACTGGTGTCGAGCCGTTGAAGAACTTTTGGTAATACCTGGTATTATGTATAGCATACCAGGAATTCCTTTATTTATTGGAAAACTGTTTCTGTATTGTACCGTAAAAATGCTTTTATTTTAAAACTGAGATACTGCGAAAGGACATTTTCGCGCAGTAATATACTGTTTTTTGTCCGAAAAAAGATACGTGCGTTAGCCATGCCTGTTAAGTTAGATGTAGATAGATTAATAACTAAATCGCTGTACTTGTATTATATCCCCCCACATCGCAAATAGTTGTCCACACTCATTGAAGCACACACAAGCATATCTCTGAAAGCAAAAAATTCCCTGAAGCCTTGTTTCGTGTTTTCTGTAGTTGACATGATAATAATAATGTTGTGTGACACCTACTCGTAAACAGACATGATATTGGAACACAACATTGAGCTTAAGTTGACATTTTCAAGATTGATGAAGTGATGAAGAAGAAATACCACAGTCGGAAATGCTATTAAACACTTATGCACAATTTTTTCGTACTGATATTTATTTTATTTTATTATTTTATAAATTCACTTCATATTGCAGATAAAAACTCTATGATAGCTTTAAATTATATTTATCAATAAAGGACATAACATAAATGGCTTTCCGTCTCCTAACTAAATATAAAAGCATCTCAAAATTTATTCTCCTTTTTTTCTTTAATTTCAGAACATTCTGCA